TATATATATATATATATATATATATATATATATATATATATATATATATATATATATATATATATATATATATATATATATATATATATATATATATATATATATATATATATATATATATATATATATATATATATATATATATATATATATATATATATATATATATATATATATATATATAAAGGTGAAATTGGTATTTAAAAGTTTCTACTCAATCCACACTTTTAATATATTGTAGATTAATTGCTTAGTGCTCTCAAGATTTCTTTATTTTTTAGCATTTTCAAGTTTTTTTTTTTTTTTACCAAACTCTTTATCTAGTTGATAGTTATATACAGCAAAAGATGCATACATAAATTTTGAGAAGTATCTTCAAAACATGAACATCGTTGTAGATTAAGGGCGTAATCCTAATCGTCAAGAATAATAATAATAATAGAAAATAACTAAATAAATTATACAATATTTATAATTGATGTAATCTGACCTAAATTCTAGTGAATATTGAAGTTTAAGTTGAAGTGGTCTTAAAGAGATCAAAGATATGAACCGGGAAGAAAAGTCGTCGCATTTTCACTAGCTTGCTGCTCAAGCGGCACCAATGAATTTTTAGCAGGCACTTTTTCCTCGCCTGTTGCTCGAGCGACCGGGGGTTGTCGTTTGCCTATCACTCGAGCTACAGGGTTTTTCGAATTTTGCATTTTTATCTTGTTGTAAATACAATTAATATTGATTATAGCGGATTTCTTCTCCTCTACCCGTAGTTTTTCCCATCTTAGATTTTTACATAAATCTTGGTGTTCTTAATTTGTTCTTGCTTATTTCATTATAGTCATTATCTTGCGATCAATTTACAAACAAGTGGTATCAGAGCAAGGTTGATTATTCTACATGTCAACGATAAAATATGATGTTCCGTTATTGGATCGAAATACAAGATTTAATTTATGGCAAGTGAAGATGTGAGGAGTTTTCGCACAGATGAATGTGGAGGAAGTCTTGCTTGGCATTGATAAAATGCTTTCAACCCGGATGTGAGATAAAAAGCAGCGTAGGGATTGGAAAACCCAATCCCAAATTCA